GAACTATGAGGTGAATGAAAAATCACTCAACCTCATAGTTTGAGCCGTCGTGTGACAATGAAACTGTCACATGTCGGCTCAATAGTTCGGGAAGTGAGCGAACTCATACCGTGGCTCGCTCACTTTCTGTCAGTCACCGCTCCCCGCAGGGATTCCCCGCTGCAATCCTCTAGCGCTGACTGGAGGAACAGACGGGGAGGGGACGGGTACAGCTGGCTCTGCCTCTAGATAGACAGAGCCAGCTGTCATTCACGCAGCTGGGTGGATCTTGACAGCATTGTCGGGATCCGTCCTGACTGCGGCGGTCTCAGTATACCACGAGCTGTAATTTGCGATATATTGAGCTTTGGGTCATGGGAGGAGGTTAGTATGACCTTTTAAGAAAAGTATGGGGAAAAACACTTACCCCATAGTTCTCTTTTAAAGTGAAACTGAGGATAGAAATATGGAAGTTGCTTGCTTATTTGTTTTAAAGGTTCAAGCAGACGCCTACCTCTGGCTTTATTATCTACCGAGTCTTCAACCTAGAATTAGAATGCAGACAGTAAAGTCAGAATGCCCATCCTGGATGTTTGTTCACCAGGTAGTAAAGCCCGGATGAAGATGATGAAGTTCTAGAGCCTGTTTTTTTAAAAGCAAGTGAGCAAAGGTACCACCATATGTTTATCCTCCAGTGTTGACTGATCCGAACAAAAACCCACTCAACAACTTTCCGCTTAAAGGAGAACTATGGGGTTAGGTCCTCCCGTCACCCAAAGCTCAGTATATCGCGAGCTACAGCTCGCGATATACTGAGACGCCGCAGCTGAAACGGATCCCGACAATTATGTCTGGATCCGCCCAGCTGCGTGAGTGACAGCTGGCTCTGCCTATCTAGAGGCAGAGCCAGCTGTACCCGCCCCCTCCCCTGTCCGTTCTGCCAGTCAGCCCTGGAGGATCGGAGCGGGGAGGGGGGAATCCAATCCCTCCCCTGTCACGGCTCTCTGCAGTGACAGGATCGAGAAGTGAGCGAGCGACGGTATGTGTCCGCTCACTTCCCGATCTACTGAGCCGACCTGTGACAGATTAATTGTCACAGTTCGGCTAGAACTATGAGGTGAGTGAAAATCACTCACCTCATAGTTCTCCTTTTAAAATACCACAGATACATCAGCAGATGTTCATAATTACATGATGCTGACACCTGAGCTAGAAGTAGGGGTCATCCAACCTAACTTGTGATAATGTAGTGCCTGGGCAGCAATGAGCTGAGCATCTCAGAATTTAAAGTACATGTAAGCCCTAATTGAATGTCATTTAATTTGCTAAAGCACTGTGTATCATAAACAATCACCAATTGTGTTCAATAAAATACATGTTTTGACCCTTTTCCACCTTTGTTGCATATTAGTGTTACTGGTCTCCTGCAGCCTTTTTTGCAGCCTTGTCCCGGGATCAGTCACCCCTGTGATGGCTGCATGGTATTTTTCAGGGTCGGGTTCCTTCCTGTGTAATGTGTATTAAAACGGTCGCTTGTAGTCAGCCATCAGAAGCTTGTGCGAAAGGGTGGCAATGCAGGAACACAATTAAGAATCCACTGCATCACAGGGTGCACACCAAACAGTGTCAACAAAGTGCCTTGTGCTGTAGTCACCAACCCACCGGCATTCACAGGGTTACCTGTAACATATTATTTTGGTGAAATAGACCACAAAGTTACATAGAACGCAAACATTTAATAAAATATTTTATATAAAGTACTTTTTAAAGTCCTAGGTGTGAGACATGTTTTGCTGCAAAACAGAATAAATGGTCACCAGCACTCCAAGTTTCCTTCAAAATGAAATCCTTTTATTCATTCTAGCAGGCCATATCACCATGCGTGGCAACATTTCGGAACCTGTCTGGTCCCTTCATCAGGCAAGCACAAGTTTTGTTTGCTTGATAAAGGACCAGTGCTGGTGACCATTTATTGTGTTTTGCAGGCATTTTGTGGCGTCATCCATGGCCGCTTTAGCACCCTAGAAGTCACCAGCACTCGATGATATGTGCAAGAAGTAAAGCACTTTTTATTAAATTGTCACATGCATCATACAGCTTAGCTAGTTTCAGTACTCCCCCCACATAGATGGTAAATCCTAAAAGTGTAATTAATATATTGCATTCTTCATCTGCATCACCCATGCTATGTTGTACATTAATGAAGAATATTGTGCTGGCCTGTAGCTGTTACTCTTTCGTTAGTGCTTAAGGCTGCATGCGATATCATATCTGATACGTTTTGTTTTCTGAGGGTCTGCAACATACCTGATGATGCTTGTGTCTGACAACTGAAGAAGCTGCTTGCAAAAGCAGTGAAATGCTTTCAGCATTAAAAAAAATTCCACTTGAATTTGACTTACTACTAGCCAATCCGTGGAACTTTTTTTGTTAACTTTTAGTTGATGTAATTGAGTTATTTGTTTTGGTTTACTATTTAAGACTTGCTTTTCAAGTAGAAAAATGATATTCTAAGGAACATAAATAAATGTGACCTGCCACTGGGCTCCTCACCTTCAACTGGAGCTCTTATTTTCAAGGCTAATGCTGACGCCAACATTGAGTCAGCAAACGCGTGCCCGAATCTGTTCTGAATCATCGTGACTTTAGACTTCATCTGCACATTTGTTCTTGTACTAAAGCCAGAGACAGCCAGAAAATGAGCTTTGTTCTGTATTTCAGTTGATACAGTGGGTTTTTATAGGTGTTAATAATTTGATAGCGGTCTGTGCTTTGCACTTAATAAAATCATATAATGTTAAAGTTGTTAAAGGTTTTCTGAGGGGTTTGTTTATTCAACGTGTCAGTGTCCCATACAATTAACGAAGAGGCAGAGGGCAAGTTTATGGACAGAAAAGAAGAAATTTAATCTTCCAGTGGCAAGTTATCCGTAAGTAACGTCAACCAAAAGGGGTTTAAGTGCCAGGAGGCCAAAGACAGCCGTCGCTCAAAGGAAAGTTGTACGTTTATCAGGGAATGACCTGACAGGCATCTGGGTTGAATGTTAATAGTAAAGATTAGAGGTAAGGTTTCAAATGTACATATAATATATACATATGTGTATATAGTCTATACAGGAGAGCGTATTGTGGGTTTTAGAGTGACAGGTAAATCAGGCATCAGTGCATAATATGCCATACATCTATCAGACCCATCTCTCCACAGAGCTTGGCAAATGCAGTTGGGGAAGGTCCTCCCCCAGCTTTAGGGAATTTATCAAGGGAAACATCCATGCAATTATTGAAGTTCCCCACCACCAAAAGAGGAATCGGGAGTTTATCAGCTAAGAAAGTGGCCAGTACCACATTGGTGTAAGGGGGAGGTATGTACACATTAGCAATAACACACTCTCTGTCAAAGACACAACAATCCATATTATCCACATATTATGGAACATTTTTATGAACAAGAATAGATACTCCCCTTACATAGGTGGAGAAGCAAGAATGAAAAGCCTGTTTCCAATTGTTTACACGTATCTAAATTGGTATGTTTTCTGTAAGCAGATAACTGGGGGGATGGTGGAAACAAGTCCTAAATTGCATGCAGATATAGTAAAAGATAAAAAAAAAGAATGGCAAGACATGGCAAAAACGTACTGAGGTGAAGAACAAAAAAATAGTTACGTGGGGTGTCCCAAGTGAGAGAATGAAGTCCCAGAGTAGATTACATGGTCGTCAATGCAGGTATGATATAGAGAATGAGGCTATAAACCTTGGCGAACACAGGAACCTGAAAACCGAGAACAAAAACAAAAACAAACAGTTCACGCTGGGGAAAAACTGGGGGTAGAATATACCTCTTGAGGCTGCAACATTGTATAATGGGATATCTACAGTAGTAGTATTGCAAAAATAACTACCATCAAAGAGGGGAGAGATGCACTCAATGAATTGTGATGGATCTCGAGCTCCTTGGTTTAAAACTGAGCCTTAGGGAACACAAGCCTGTGTTAAGAAAGAAAAAAGAGCTTATAAAAAGCTGTATGGCCAGTGATGTCAGGATTTAGGCGGTTTCTTCTTTATGAATTTATCCAGCCAGGATGAGGCCTGAGAAGGGATCTCAAAGAAGTGTGTTTCACCGTTGGCCATGATTCTTAGCTTAGCCGGATAGATCATCGAGTAAGGAAAATGCAGCTGTTGAAGATGTTTCTTAACATCCTGGAATTTGGCATGCTTCTTCTGCATTTCTTGGGAGAAATCAGGGAATCGCATCACTTTGCTACATAGATTACTTTGCACCTGCTACAGAGATCTCGTCCATTTCACAGGCTTTGCGAAAGATACGTTCTTTATCCCTGTAATTGAGCAGCCTGATGAGCATAGGCCTAGGAGGATTTCTACCAGGAAGGAGAGGACAGGACGGGACCCTATGAACCCTTTCCACTGCAAAGAGTGAGGAAAGAAATTCCTTACCGAAAGTCTGTCAACCAGGATTCAGCAAAATCTGCTGAATTGTTACCTTCCTGGTGTTCAGGGATGCCCACCACATGAAGATTGTTCCTGCAAATGCGGTTTTCAATATCATCAGCTTCATCAGAGAAAGCAGAAGTATGTTTCAGAGCCAATTTAACATCAGACACCAAACGGGTAGTGAGATCCTCAAGGTCACTGAACCTGCCTTCCACAGCGGTCGTTCTCTCTTTGACCTTTTGTAAATCGTGCCAGAGGAAAGAGTTATCAGCTTGCATCCCCTGAACTTGATCAGTTAAGGAGGTAAGAGAGGTGTTGCATGTCTGGATAGCAGAATAGATGTCAGACATGGTGCCAATTCCTGGAGGTGTGCAGTGTTGTCTTCGTGTTCAGCTGCTGGAGCGGGGTGGGGGATGGGGAGATGGCCGCTGGATGTCAGCAGTGGCTGCGAAGGATGAAGGGTGGAAACCTGGCAATGGGGGGACTGTTGAGGCTGGATTGGCAGCAAGGAGCCCGGGTGGTGTGCGTGTAGGGGCGGCTTCTATGTAGGCTGCTGCTGCGCCCAGGTGGATGGTGTATCGCCGCTGGAGCAGGGAAGAGGGCTGGCAGCTGGACGTTGTTTACTGGCGTGGAGGAGAGAGCAGCAGTGAGGAAGGTGAGGGAGAAGGTATTGGCGCTGAGTGTCTTGTGTCTGGGTGCCCGCTGACTGGACACCCGGACACAAGACTCCAAAACCGGACTGTCCAGGGGAAAACCGGATGGGTAGCAACCCTAGGAGGAGGCTCTCAGATGTAAACACTAGAGGGTTTATATTTTATGAACGCTGTGATTTCTCATCGAGGTATAGAGTCACTCCAATCGGCTGTGTACATTGTGCCTGTTATCTGAACTGTCCGATGATTGCTCGGACTGAATATTTCATATTTAGAACTTGCAACCAAAAGGTGCCAAGTCTGAGCAGCAACTTCTTTTTTTTTTTTGCTTTGCATTAGCAATAGACCTAAATAACAGATTCAATCTAATTAAATAGACTGCAGAATATCTAAAAAGTTAAAATCTTCATTCTCTCTCCAAGCAGAGTTGAGACCATCATGTTTAGTCATTTATACAAAGATTTTCAAGAAACAAGCAAACTGTGCCATGCTTTGTTTTAAGAAAACCCATTGTGCTTTGTAAAACTAATATTACTAATGGACATTGTATAAAAGTAAGTTTTGCTTTTTTTGCTTGTTTTTTTTATAAAAAGGTTTTATGCAAATGTGAAAATATTAAACTTCAGTTTTTTAATATATAAGAGCATATAAATAAAACAGACTAAAAGCCATAATTCTTTCCATTTAAAGGTATAAAATATGGAAATCTGCCTTGCTAGCCACAAGCTGTGATGTCTATGTTAAAGCTACTTCCTAAGCAAAATGCATTTCAGATTAAACTACCCTTTTATATAAAAGACAAATAAACATTACAAATGACTAGGGTTGTGTTTGTTCATCTCATTTCTAACCATGTCGGCCCCATGCTGAGGTTTATCTCTGATCTGTTATGGTTCAATTTCCTGTTTTTTTTTCCCAAAAGATTTTTGAGATGTTGCCAGGAAACAGGATATAAGCATCTTATATTTGAGCAACCAACTCCAGTTTACTCAAACGTTAGGCAGCTCATGGAGATAATGGCTCCAACACTCTACCTTATGATCCTGATGACACCTTGTCTGGTAACAACAGGTAAGACTGGGAACATTTTAGAGCAGTACAGCAGTGTACAACTTTTTTTGGCTCCTAAGTGTCCATCTTTCTTGTTTCTAAGATGTCAACTGTAGATGTGCCATTTTGTGTAATACCACAAAATGACAAGCATCATCTCAAGGTCTAATTTTGGGTACATACAATGGTTTGTGATCATCAGTATGTAGAACTATCCTATATAAAATGTTGATATCTTGCCAGAGATTTGCACATTTTATTTTTACTTAGTTTGTTTTTACTCCATTCACTCATTTCTCTCTCACACCATTAGAATTTATTTACATAGAATCATATTGAGATTTCTTTTGATCTTACCTATAGCAAGACTGAATTGTTTGAACAAATCAGTGTACTATATAAGTATATGTACTCTGTGACCATAATGGCAGCAACCATTATTACTGCCCTAGGCACCTGAGAATAAAGATGTCTGTACGTCTTTTGAAAGATATAGACAACTGATCCCGAGCTATAGCGTCAAGCAGCTTGTACAGCTAAGTAGGCTACTTGAGAGGGGAAATATTTTCAACATTACAGAACAAGTCCACTTAAATGTAAGAAACTATTACTAGGCGATTCAGCATTTAAGGAATGTCAAAGTGGACAGTTTAAACGTTGGCCATCAGGGAGCATGATATATGATTAGAAACTCTTGGATGCCAATTATGTGTGAGCACAGAGCTGTATTTGACTATACAAATGAAAACAATATTTAAAAAAATAAAAACTCTACTGAAGTGGCTTTCAATGATTACCTAAAAAAATCTGGTTGCTTGGCTGTCGTAAGCCGTAGTACTTTCTGAATTACTAATCCATGCACACGACTGATCTGCATGATTTTCCCAGTTGAGTAAGTTGGGGATGAACATAATAGCCAGGCCACTAGCAAAAAAAAAAAAAAGTTCAGCAACTCTCACAGAAAAGGTTTCCTGTACAAGTAAAGGCCCTGCCTAAGAACAACCACAACAGAATGCCTGACCGTACCTTTATTAGTAGACATGTGCACTGCCAAACAATTCGTTTCGTTTCGTTTTAAATTCGGATTTGTGTTATTTCATTTTTCAGGATTCGGGTGTGAAAGTCAATTCAGATTCGGAATTCGGATTCGGACGAAATGCGGTAGCGTTCGTACGAACGTCCGTTTCGTTTTCTGTTCTTATTCGTTTCTTATTCGTTTCGTTCGTTTGCAGCAAAAGTGACATTTGAGGGGGAAAAAATATTTTTCTCCTCTAATGTCACTTTGCTCCAACGAACGAAACGAATAAGAAACGAATAAGAAACGAATAAGAACAGAAAACGAAACGAACGTTCGTACGAACGCTACTGAATTTCGGAAATGGAAATTCGGATTCGTTTGCATTCGTTATGTCTGTAATTCGGAATTCGGATACATCCGAATGTCCGAATTTCCGAAAATTCGTCCGAATTTCGATTCGGAACGAAACGAATCGCACATGTCTATTTATTAGTTAGAAAACACTCATTTGATTTAGCTTCACTTGATCACTATGTACCTGACACCAGACTGAGCGCTTACCAACTTCCACTCCTCCTGTCAGAGCAAATCAGCAGCCCTTAAGGGTCCAGGTAGGTGGGTTAGTTGTAACCCACCCTTCGTGGCTGTTCTAAGTTAAACTGCATTAACTGTTCCCCACAACCCAGCTGCTTACTTACCCTCATTGCAGATGTCTGTCCTGCTCCAGTGTTTATCTTAATTCTCTTTAGCCTTGGCTGCCACCTTGAAAGGGGCCATGTATCAAGACTAGAGATCGTCGGTATATGTCTTCATTCAAGATAATAAGGATAATTATGGTCTGAGCTGGGTAAGATTTTATTGCCTCGGCTCTGCAACAAAAGTAAGTAGTTGGGGTGGGGGATAGAGTAGCTATTTTGTGATATTTTGAGTTCTGGGTCACAAGAGCACATTAGTATATGTCGTCCTGTTAACCTAAAGAGAACTACAGCCAAAAAGGTTGGGCTATAGTTCTCTTTTAACCTAATACAAATATTTCAGCTTTGTGGAGCTGCTGCCAAGTTGAAACACAGGCAGGAGGTAGGGATGGAAAAGAAGGTGCTATGGAAAGAAAATGTTGGGGACTAGTAAAGCATTATAATTCATATTTTAACCAATGAAAATAATTGACTACATCAAGTTTAGGGTAATAACCATTTTTGTTGACATTTTCAGGAAAAAAGTGTGGAAAGTGAATAGATCAACACTAAG